CTACCAATGGAGACAACTGTATACCGAAAGTCGTTTGTGTGTAGCTCTAGCATCACCTTGAACAAGTCGGTTGAGTAGTGATTGACTAATGACAAACCAAAGTACTAAACTCTATGATCTGATTGGCCAGGCACATTCATGTACTTTTAGTTCATTGCCCTTGATATGTCCGAATGTCTTTCCTTACCGGCCTCTCTTATACAATAATTCATCAACAACTTATTTTCTTTCTATTTTTTTTTCCCGAATATATCTTAGGCTTTTGTTGTGTTTGCGGTTTATATTTATACTTTTCTTTTATGTAAAACAAAAATAAAAATCGTTATGTATGTTGCTTTTTGTTTACTTGTTTAGACTCTCTAACTAGAGAAGTACATCCCAAGCGAACTTTCTGATGGATCTCTCCACCTCGTGGTATGGATACCAAATTCAATGTTTCTTGAATTCAAAGTAACAAGATAATATTGGTAAGGATGGAAGCTTAGGGAAGTTAAATAAGCTTTGATACCCTTCTTATTATCATTTTACAATTTACACAAACTGATATTCATGTCATGTAAGTATTCGAAGCCTGAAGTACTACAATGTTAAATAATTAAGTTACATCATTTTATTAAATATAGAGATTAAAAATGATGAATACATATTCTTTTAAAGATCATAACAAAAATTGTGATATTTTTAAGAAGGATTACACCTTTAAAAATGATGAATAAGTTACATCATTTTGTAAAATATAGAGATTAAAAATGATGAATAAGTTTCTTATAAAGATCGTAACAAAAATTATGATATTTTAAACTTATGTAATATATTTTTTAGTCTACATTACTTAGTTATTGTTACTTGTTACTTTAATATGTTATCATTTTTTTTATAGAGATTATATATAAAAAAGTGATATTTTTTAAAAAAATAAAATGTTTTTAGTTATTATTATTATTAATCTTTTTAATATTCAATTTTTAGTGTTTCTAATGTTTTTATTTTATTTTATTTTATTTTAATGTCTGACTTTTTAAGTTGTTACAGTGGATAAGTAGCAATGAGAAATTAAAATAAAAATAAAAAAAAGTGCAAAAGTTGGTTGTAGGTAGTGATGATATTCTAAATGTGTCTCTTACAAATATTGCTAACAATTACAATGAAGATAGAGCCAATCATGCTGAGGGAGAATTTGCCTCAAAAAAGTAGGTTTTATCCTCCATCTATATAATGTTATATGATCAATTTTTACATATAGAATGTTATATGATTCAAACTATATAATCTACTCAATCTTTGTGTGATATACTTAATATTATTAATTATATTATGTGATAATTATATACTTAATTACATAATTTTGGATTGTGTAATAATTTTAGTTACATTTGTAACATTGAGCCTCTTTTTTTTCTTCTTCATAGATTCTAAGAGTATTTGAGAGTGTTGTGACTGAAGTTCCTCCATTCTCTGTAAATGGGCCTGTGAAAGAGGAAAAGCAAGTTGTGGTGGTGGTGGGATGCTACCTCAGAAGCTCAGAGTTTGCGAAATTCTCTTCTCTTCCTTGTCATTTCTCTTCTCTTTTCCACGGCTAGAATATAGGTAAGGAAAACTAGAACTCGAATCATTGCTACATTTGAGTTGCATGTGGTTGGTTCATCATCAAAGATGTGATTCATGGCTAAGTTGTTTGAGTTAAGTAGATTGCATGTTTAGTTAGGGTTGTGAGTATTTTTTAATGAGTTGGAAAAAAAATGGGTGATCTTGATATTTTGATGGTTTCATGTGGTGTTTTATGAAATTTTTGAGTTGCATGTAAGTTAAGTCTCAATTTTACTTCTTTTTGGACAAGACTTAATAAGCAATTCCACTCATTCTTTGAACCACTGCAATATAATTGTTTTCTTTTTGGTCCATTTTGTGTGCAGATATAGCTAACCCATAATTTAGCTAACAATATCCTAATACACCTCATTTTTTGTGCAGGTATTGAGCTAGAGAATTGAGGATTTAAGACCCATAGGATTGGAAACCTAAGGAGCTAAGGAGCAGAGAAGAGTAGCTGCGCTGGGCGTAAGATGACTCGCGTCGGGCTTGAGAAGAACAGAGTGTTCCACCTCTGCAAGTCACACCTGCACCGGGCGCGAGACTACCCTCGCTGGGCGTGATCGAGACAGATAGTACCTCAAACTCTTTGGAAGGTATTGCGCCGGGCGTAAAAGGAATTGCGCTGGGCGTGTTCTGAGGCAGAGAATACTTGACCTCACTGGAAGGCCCTGCGCCGGGCACAAAGACTTATGCGCGGGGCGCATAACCCTAATTTGACTCCCCAAGCTCGTATTTGAAGAAAATTTCGAGGCTTTGCTCCTCATTCACACATTGGGCGCGTTTTAGGAGTTGTGGAAGGGATTCCCGGAGCTTGGAGTCGTTCGTGTGTGGGTCTTTCCTTCGGTTCTTTATTCTCTCTTCATCTCTATTTTGTATTTACCCTCATTGTTTTGAGTGGTTTTACCCATTGTTTTGTGGGGTTAGATGTAACCAACGAATTCTATTGTAATCCTTACGTTTTAATGATATATATACATGTTGTTTCATTCATTGTTGTGTATGTTTCTATTCTTAATGCTTGCTTTGGATTGATTCTCCTTGCATGATATAGGTTCCATTGGGTATTGGAAAACAACCTTTGAAACTAGCTCTGAAACAAATGCCTAGTGGGAAATGTATCTAGGAATGGAGCTTGCCTCATTAGTAGTCTTAAACCCTAGTCCGTAATGCGGGTATGGATATTGGGTACTCAAGGAATTGATATTCAATATCCGCACCTAGGTTCTTGCTATAAGGGATTAAGTTTGAGTAAACTTATGGGTTGACTAAGCAATGTATGTAACAAGAGATTAAGGATTCATTAGTTTGACGTTTGGTGAAATCTGACCCCACAATCTCACAAAACCATTACACCATTTCTACCCTTTTCCACTCATAACCAAATATTTTTATAGTTAACATTCTAGTAGTTATACTCTTCAATTAACTTTCACATGACAAACTACAGAATTAGAATTATTCTTTAGTCACGAATAGTCAATAAATGCTTATTTTACCTACTAATCCCTGTGGATACGATAATTTTACTACTTGAACGGCCGGTATACTTTCCGTATTTGGAACCGTTTTTTGAACAAAAGTGATTTAAAGTGATAACAAAAATAGTTTTAACAGAAATCTCAACAATGTATGAATCTAGTAGTGAAAATGAGTTGTAAATGGTGTTTAGGAAGAAAATTTGTGAAGTGTGGGTGAGAAATAAAGGGAAAGTCATGAATATGTAGAAAAATTGTGCACTTAACGTTGTAACAGCAGTTGAGCGCTACACCTATAGGAAAAATTGGGCTAGCAAAAATCCAACGCTAAAGTACCGGATTAAGTGTTGTAGTGGCAGGGTAAATGACCAAATTTGGTATTGGGGTCTGCATGAAAGTTATAGCCTTGGATGTTAGATTTCCAATGGCTTTGGAATCACCTAAAAAGGAAGTATAGTACTCCAGTTATGACTTTTTTAGTCAGTGAAGGTCAAGTTATCAACATGTAGGCAAATTGTTGCGATTTTTACAATTTTAAACATGGTAGATGATGGAATTAGAACCTAAGGTCTTCATGAAAGTTGTAGAAAATCTTGTTGTCTTTTATATGAGATAAGAATGAGTATGATAGGAGTAGTAGAACTTCCTATGCATTATTTTTTGTGAAGGTTGTCATTATACAATAAGTGATTTTCATAAGTTGTATGTTGATACATGTTGTTCGATAAGAGCATTTGGTGAACATGAATATAATACTTGTGTCGATTACATGTTGTGTGATGTAGAATAATGATAACAAGCATTAGTATGCTATATTTGTGTAACTGAAATGGTGAAGAGCATCGATATGTTATGTATGTTTGATATGCTATACTTGGATGAATTGTTAAGCATTGATATGTTATCCCTGGTTGAGTTGTTAAGCATTAGTATGTTATACATGATTGATGTTGTTGATTTCTATATGCATTAATTGGATGTGATGTATATGATAGATGTATGGTGAGGTGTAGACATTGGGAATGTAGTGTGACATTAAAGTAAAAAATTAATTTATTGATTAAATCTTTTAAGAAAAATCTCAAATTTTAATTTAAAGATTAAATATTTATCATTATTAATATATTAAATATTTAATTTAAAAAGAGGAGGGTTCAAATGACACCGGTGTAATTTTTATTAAGTGTTATATCGTTTAATAACTTTATATTAAATGTGAATTTTGTAAATTCAACCGTTAGATTGAAGATTCATATCTCTTAGATCATATATACAAAATTTTATATTAATCCAAGATGATTTGATATTTCATTTTTATAAAATAAAATTGACGTAATATATTCATTTTAAAATACACTAAAATATGAACGCTTTGATCACCTTTAAATTGTTGTTAATTTTAACAAAATTTGATATACACATATAAAGTGATATGAATTTTCAATCTAACGGTTGAATTTATAAAATTCACAATTAATATAAAGTTATTGAGTGATGTAACACTTAATAAAAATTATACCGGTATCGTTTAAAGTCTACTAGTTTAAAAAATTATTTATTACTTTTGTGAACTTAATAAAAAAAAATGAAGTAAAAAAAATAGTACTTTTGGAATACTAACAGTTAAGGAAATTTATTTATAGAAAGAAGAAAAAGAAGAAAAGTGTACGGGAGTAGAAAGAGTAAAAGCAGTTGATGTCGTGTAGCAGAAAAGCGAAAACCGTAAAAAGGCGGAGAGAAGAAAGAGGGAAAGGAGAGCGTTTGTGGTTTGAGTTTGGCGGCAGCAATAAATGCGATAGCAAAAAGCAGCGCGTGCGAGCGACGAGCACTCACGTTTCATTTCGCAAATTAAATAAAAACCCATTGGTTTACGAGACGAGTGACGCGACGGAGAAAAGTCAAAAAATTAAACAATTAAAAAAGAGACGGCACGTGTGGGAAGAGAGAGAGAAAGAAAAAGATGAGAGTTGTGGTGAGGTTTGTGGAGAGGAGAAGTTTCTCTTTTGAGGAATGGGGGGGAGAAGGTGGGAAACAACCACAATCGAACAACGCCATGTGAATGGAGAAGAAGCTCAACCTCATCGTCCCTAATCCTCATGAAACATTTCCGCGCCGCGATTCCCCTATACCTCAAGGTTCTTCTTCTCTTTCCGATTACTAATCGATTCATCGCTTTGTTTTTCACAATCCACCATCACTCACCCTCGCTTCTGCTATATTCTCCTCTTTCCTTCATTTCGTTATCGTTTCCTTTTCCGCATAGAATCAATAACGCAACATTTCGTGTTCCAATGCTCCTATCATTATGAGATGTTACACCTTACACGTTCATTTCAGAATCAGATCAGTATTGTTTTTCCTTATTTGAACTGCTTCCAGAATCGAATCAATTTCAATCGAGCCTTGTTTTTTTTGTGATTATTATTAACTATTAGCCATAATTTAAACCGACGCTTAGTTGATTTCGTGATTGTAGGTTCAGAATTTTGTGTCCTTGGGTGCATTGATGATATGGCTTCACTTGTATTATGCTGTTCACGCGTTTATGATGTTGTTTCAGATTCACCGTGGATGGTGAAATTCAGCTCTGGTGAAACTATGGATTCGGGAACTTATCCGGAGCGTCCAGGGGAGCCAGATTGTTCATATTACATTAGAACGGGCGTTTGTAGATTTGGCGCAACGTGTCGGTTTAATCATCCTCCTAACAGGAAGCTGGTGCGAGTTGCAATGTATTTATTTGTACGAATTGTGTTATGTATTTATAGTATGTGTGTTCAAATTGGATGGGGATATATAATTCTCGTTGTTCTTAGATGGATTCGTTTTGAATCATTCGAATTATCATCATTAAATATTAAAATCTCCCTAGGTGATGGAAGAAATGCACTCTTGAAACTATTCTCTGCCCCACACATGTTCTTTCTTAGTTTGTTAACTCTGTTCCTATTTAAAACACGTGCATTTCTATTCATTTTACTGGATTATAACAGCATTTTAGCAGACAGAGAAAGATGCACATAGACACCCGGGAGAATATCACTCTGTTGTATCTCCCTTCCTTGATGCAGTAATCCTGACTAGCTTTTGGTGTTGGACACTAGTGTGTTTTTTTTTGCCCTTTTTTCAGGTGTATAGCACAGTTTTTATGCATGTTCACGTGTCAATCTACACATACGTGCTCTTTTGACATAAATGAATTTCACGTAGCTGGGGCTACATAATGTCAAATCTTACCGTGCTGCTGATTTTTATTTTGATATCATTCTATTACATGGAAAATATAGATACCTGAAAATTTTACTGTGAATCCTATCAGGCTATTGCCACTGCAAGGATGATTGGCGAGTTTCCAGAAAGAATAGGGCAGCCAGAATGTCAGGCATGTACTAATTTCCCAATGCATGCATGAGATGGATATTGCTTATTTATGTGCATGAGCTGGGATTGGCTCTTTTTAAGGTTGAGTTTAGCAATTCCTCAAAATAATATGAATCTTTGTGGGAGTGATTGTTGGACTAGGAGTAAATAAACACTTTCTTGGCTTATTTTGACCAAGATATGTAAGGGTAGCCTAATGTCAGTAAAATCGAAAGTTGTGATGAATGGAGGAAGGGGAAAGGGACAGATTGTTTACTTGTGTCACATGGAATTTGTTTTCTGTCTTTGTTTCTTATGAAATTGTATATTTGGGTTTATCTTAAAAAGTGTTTACTTTGGGTGGGAAGTTAATAGAATTTATGTTGCCTTACTAGCCTGCACTATTCTTGATTCAAGCATTGATATCGTTATGAGCTCTAGCTCTAACACAGATGTTAACATCAGCCTTGTACTGCAGAGCATGAATTTGTATCTTGACATGCATCATTTTTTATTTAAACTTTCATCATAACAACAATTTTTTTTTCCTGTTTTCCAGTACTATCTGAAGACAGGAACTTGCAAATTTGGAGCCACATGCAAATTTCATCATCCTAAAGACCAGGCTGGGATTGCTGGAATAGTTGCCTTAAATATTTTAGGCTATCCACTCCGCCCTGTTAGTCTTAAACATTTCCCTCCCATTCATTTATAAATACGACTACGATAGTTGTTGCTCACAAATCTCTGGCTCTTTATTGTATCCTTTTGCTCATTTGTTAACCATTAAATTGCCTGACTGATATAGGATTTAGGTGGAAAAGAGAAAGAGAGGAAGAGGGAAGAAGAACAGGACAGATAAAGAGAGAGACAAGAGAAACAGAGAGATCTATGAACTGAATAGTACATTTCTATTAGCATTCAAGTCTATCGAAAATACTATAGACATCTTTTATTATAGGCAGCTACCCAAGGGCTCTAACTAACATGTAATCATCAAATTCCAACTAACAGTAGCTGACTAACTAACTAACAACAAAATTCTTTTCCTATTTACATATTTATATAACACAGATGTACTGTTAAACCTGCATAAATTTAGATATCATATTTATTTTTTCCAAAATGTGTTCTTCCATGCAGATATTTAATATGTGATCTCTAAATCTTTTATAAATGTTTTGTTTGCTTTCTGATTGATATTATTGCTCTTATAGCTTACTATATATTTTCTTTGTTTCCTGATTCTGCAGAATGAGCCTGAATGCACTTATTATTTGAGAACAGGACAATGCAAATTTGGGAACACTTGCAAATTTCACCATCCTCAACCTAGTAATATGATGCTTTCATTACGGGGTTCTCCTGTTTACCCTACTGTCCATTCTCCAACTACGCCAGGTCAGCAGTCATATGCTGGAGGAATTACAAATTGGTCCAGGGCATCATATATTCCTAGTCCTCGATGGCAAAGTCCGTCAAGTTATGCACCCTTAATTCTGCCTCAGGGAGTGGTTTCAGTGCCTGGGTGGAGTGCATACAGTGTAAGCTCTTTGATTCCTTTTATGTCATAAACAAGAAATAGTGAAACATTTTTTAATATGTTGTATTGTAGCTGATTCTAAGGCACAATATCAGGATTATGTTAGATGTATGTAGAAAGGTCATTTATTTACATCGTTTATGCTCCTGTTGGATTTTGGACAGTCTTGTTGCATCGTGGCTGTAGAAAAGGTTCTTACTAACATTATAATGCCAGTAAGACTTACCTACTCCATGCACCTGTCTCTAGAATCTGAATTCCTCTGTAAAATTGAAGTTGTGCTCCTGTGTTGATGTGAAATTTAGCAGTATTTGTTTTTCAACAGAATACTTTGGTGATCGTTCCTTTAGCTTTAATAATAAGTCAACATGGTACATATGCACACACCTGTACTTTTGTTTTAACCTGCCATTGCAGATACATGCCGATGTCCTAATGGAATATTTACCTTGCAGGGTCAAATGGGATCAATATCTACTTCAGACAGTCCACAACAAGCAATGAGAAATGGTCAAACATTTGGAACTTCTCGCCAAGGTGAGCTAGCAAATGCAGGATCACCACATGGGGCATATTCTCAATTCCGTTCTAGCACCGTTCCAGTTGGTTTTTATGCATTGCAGAGGGAAAACATATTTCCTGAGAGACCTGGTCAGCCTGAATGCCAATTCTACATGAAGACAGGAGATTGTAAGTTCGGTGCAGTCTGTCGATTCCACCACCCACGTGAGAGGCTAATTCCTGCTCCTGACTGTGTCTTGAGTCCCATGGGCCTTCCTTTACGTCCTGTGAGTTGGGCTCTTGCTACGGAGTTCTATCTACCTAGTTGTTTTTTCATAGGCTTAAAAATATTTCTGAATTTATGCTTCATTATAGTTCTCACAGGTTGAGCTTAGTGAGATTTGAGCTAGATTTAGTCTCTTTAGTTTTTCTTGTGGTTCATATGATTTATCACTTTATTATTCTTACATTAACTCTTATTTGGATTTGGAGCCCCTCCTTTTTCTCCTAACATGGCCTTGTTGTTAGTTAGTTGCATCTCCTAGTTCTAAAGATAATGTTTTACACATGGGTTAAGTCATAGCATGTAGCAAAATGTATTATCAAATTATGTTTAACCATCATTTGAAGTGCACCTAAGTTAGAATGGTTTGAAGCAGTTATATAGACATGAGAGATGATGCAGACAATGGTAATCAGTTTGAGTAGTTTGAATCATTTCTTTTTTATACTATCTCAACCTTTGGGTATGCTCTTCTTTTCCTTCAGCGAAGTGAATAAATGTGTAAAGAGGTTATATATTTGTGATAGTTGGAGAAAATGGTCAGATCTACAAATATTTGTGTCGTTAATTTTCTTTACATAAGTTTGGTCTTCTAAGTTGTGATTGAATTAGTACAAGCTGATAGAGGCAGTGTCCCATTTCTTACAGGGAGAACCTTTGTGTGTCTTCTATTCGCGTTATGGCATATGCAAATTTGGCCCAAGTTGCAAGTTTGACCACCCAATGGGAATTTTCACCTATAATATCCCTGCATCGCCTTCAGCTGATGCCCCAAGCAGGCATCTGTTAGGATCTTCATCGGGAACTGCTGCATTAAATTTATCTTCGGAGGGACATGTTGAGTCAAGCTCAGGCAGACGGCTTTCGTTATCAGAGACGGGACAGATTCCTTCTGGTGATAATGACATTGATGATGATGTCTCTTGAAAATGGGTCATTTGGCTTTTACAATTTTTTTTTAAGGGGAGAAATGATTAATCTGTAAATTAATTTTCCCATTGCTGGAGATGTACAGAGGTCATGTCAGGTTGATTCTGTCAATCTGAAATTAAATACAGTTGACAGATTCAATTGTTCTGGATTTCATGTTGCCTGGCTCATTGGATAAATTTAAGCAAATGTCACATTTGGACAAACCCAACGTGATCGATCCTTCTGTCCTTTGAAGCCACGACTTATTCTAATTAACTTTTCACATTATGTAAAAATTCACTTTCGGAAGTCTGTAATGACCAAATTTACCTCTTTGAATATTTATTGGGTGCAGGGTTGAAACTCATTTCAAAGCCTTTACTTTCTCACTGCAGTTGGGTTTATGCTGTCTACTGTGCATGTATAGAATTCTTTTCAGTGACAAGCCAACAGTATCGTCAATGCCTTTCTATTTTTCATATTCTTGTACATTCTTACTAGAATTTAGCAGATGAAGATGACTATGATTTTGTATCTGTGTAAATAACAACTGCTGTAGAGTGGAATGTAATTTTAATCCGTACCTCTATTTTCTCCTGATTTAGGTATTCTATCTATGGTGATTGTTCTTGACAGATTTGTTTTGCAGAAGTTGAGGGGTAGAAAAGTCTTGATTAGGAATGTTGGAGATAGTGAAAGCGGAACCTAATTGATATAATTTTTCCAATATGCCGACTCTCAACACGTACGGTACTTGGTTCTTGTAGAGAGTGCTGTGGGGCTCAGGCTATAAATTGAATGGTACCATTACAGGTAGTAGGTGAATTGCTGGAGCCTGGAGCCTAGATGTCTTTTTCTGCATGGCGTTTGGTTTGCAGTTCACATGCATCAAATCTGGAATTTATCTTTAATGGAGGCTTGAGGAAGTAGCATTTCTGTCGCCGAAAATAACCATGTATCGTATTGCTCGTCAATTCTCGTTCATATTATGACTAAATTTATGCATTTACTTCTGAACCAATTCTTTCTTTATGCAGTTAATTTCAGATTGACTAAATTTATGCAGTTAACATTGTCATGAGGGTTCACTGTACCCATACAGTTTACTTTATCCTTGGTTTAATATAATTTTTACTAAAGCTGCATAATAGTTGCATGCAGCACTGTCATGCCGAGTGAATAGGGTAAGGATTTTCTTCATTGTTTACAGCGTTTCCCAATTTTGGGCCTCTGTTCGGTGAAGCAAACGAAATATGTGAATAAATTACCAGAACTCAACCCGTTTTGGGGTATTTTATGGATTTTGTAGATGGGAGGAATGCGTTTTAGATGATAACTGTTCGCTAATACAACCACTGTCGGTATTAGATTGGGTGTGGGTTGTACATTTGTCTAAACAAATCAAATTACACTGTTAAATATGTTCAATCAGGTGCCGACGAAAATACAGAATGGAAGTTGTGGTGAAGAAAATTAGTTCTGTATGAATGACTATCTTCATAACTCAAATCAAATAGAAAATAAGAGCACATCTAATGCACGAAAAAGAAGAAAAAAGAGTAATCTAAAACTTGATTGTTAAGGTGAAAATAAATAAATAAATGAGAATAGCAGCAAGAGCAAAAGCAATATTTAGTCGGTAACAAGTCTCATTATCTTATGTTCTGTAAAATTGGTAAATAGTTGAGTTTAGATAGTTTATAACTCGGATTTGATTAATTAGTTGTATAAGGAATATTTTATTGAGATAATTTACTTTAGTGATTTCAACATTTCAAAAGAAATTATTAGAGAGATATCTGAGGTAAACTAAAGGAAAAAACCTTAAATATCGTTTGTTTTCCAACATAAATTCTCACATGGTGTGATTGGTGGTGATATCTTTTTAACTATAGAGAAGTACCTAATCCTTTTATACTTTAATTTAGATCTATTTAACATCATTTTTATATACAAATTCTTGTTAACTTTTTGTGTGAATATATGTTAGGGGAAATTTACTTCAAATTTATTTGATAATTTATATTTTATATTAAATTTTGACGATTTAATCATTGAATTAAAAAAATTTAATATATAGATCAAGTTTATAAATTTTTAAAAAATTTGAAAACTATTTAATACTTTATTTCATTAATTCAAATCAACGTATAAAATATTTTTATAATTATTCATCAATTTGAATTATTAAAATATAGTATTAAATAATTTTTAATTTTTTTTAAAACTTTGTAAACTTGAATTATGTATCAAGAATTTCTAATTTGATGGTTATATCGTCAAAATTTGATATAAATAGTGAATTATTGAGTGAAATAAGTCTAGATAGATTTGTTATTAAATTAAGTAGATTTTTTCTTATATATATATATAATATTATATATAATGAGACAAATTTTTGAGTACTTCATATAAACTGTTCAAATTTTGTGTGCGAATATAATGCATACAGCTTTCTTAAATAAGTTATATAAATTAACGCATTATTATTTAAAAATAAAATAGTTCTATACTATATAAACGTATATAGTTATTTAATTAATGTAGTGCATGTTTGGATTGGATTTTAAAACTTGATTTTACATTCTCTCTTCACGTTGAAGATGGATTTTACGTGGAAGCAAAATTTTTTTGCTTCAACTAAACGTGAAAATTCACGTTTGCGTTGAAACCCAAACATGCACGTAAAATGATAGGATATCAATATGTAATTGCTTATATGTAGCTTATATACACTGTCCACTAAAAAGGCGGGGGGAATCACGTCTATATGCAACTAATTGATGGTGTTTCCATCAAATAAAAAGCATCGCGAGTACAATGTTATTATTATTATTTTAAATTTTAAATATATCTTAATTACTATTTTGTTTATTTTTTGTAAATATTATCCAATTTTGTAAGGTGTAAGTGTAAGTAATGATTGTCATTAAAACTTGTTTTAGGCTTAAAGGTTTTTTTATACATAATAGGATCAAATTTCATGGGATTATCCATTCTAGCCTTAACTCGAGAGAGTAGAGACAAGATGGGTCACTCACTCTCCGTGGCCTCTGATTTCAAAGGAACATAACACTTGTCCTTGTCCCTCACTTCAGTCTTTTTCAGGTTCCAACTCAATAGTCTGCGATGTAGCTGTTTAGTTTTCTCTTAACAAATAAAACACTGCACTTTCCACCACCAGCACTTGCCAAAATGCCCGCTTCTGGTCATGCTCATGGCCTCATCATCTCTCTCATTTTCTTGTCTATTTTTATACCCAACGTGAATGTGAGTCTCCTCTCCTCCCCTCTCCCCCTAAATCTAAATGAATGTGTAAAAAATTTTAGCTAAATTTTCATGATTAGCAGGCAAATGTTGGTGGAGGGTCCATGCAGATGATGTTGAATGAGAGCAGGAGGAAGTTGGGAAGCTTCCAGATATGTGCACTATGCACCTGCTGTAGTGGAGCCAAAGGGATCTGCTTTCCCTCTCCTTGTTGCTATGCCATCAATTGCAACATTCCCAATAGACCTTTTGGCTTCTGTTCCTTCACTCCTAAAACATGTAATTGCTTTCAATGCCATCTTTGATTATTTCTCTTGCAACTTGCCTAATGCCAAATCAAAATATTTGTCTTAATCGTAATTTTTTCACTTTTCAGTCAACATACTGATTCAGGTTTTGGTGGGGGTGGGAATAGGGCAATCAAGTCTTAGCTACAAAACCTTCTATATTTCTAATGTGTTTTATGTATCAATGCTATAAGCCTTCGTCTCTCTATGATTCTCTCTTTTCTATGTTTTATGATACTAATACCAACACTCCTAATTTGCTATAATTTTAAATTAATAAAGCATGAATACTTCTGTATTGGCAAATTTGTGAGGCAGAAGGCTTTAGTTTGGAGAATTGCATCTAAATCATGCATCTTGGGAAGAGTGTTTGGGAATAATGATAATCAGAGACTAATTTTTTTTTTTATAGAAATCAATAAAGTGAATTTTGTCTTTTTCAACAAAATCTCTTCCGAACATATGATTAGGAATCAAACCCTTCCAACTTACCAAAGAAACTCAACTATCTACGGACATTTATTCACCATATTGATATTTTTGTCTTACTGCAATCATTTTTTTACGCTAATAGAAGCTTAAAAACAAACATTTTGGTAGTTTTGAGGGGGAATAAAAACCCACTGGCCAGTGACAAGTACTACAATTGGTTGATTTTTTTGGATATTAAATTGCACAACATGCAATTCATCTTGCTATCTTTAATCTTGTATGTTGTGACCCAAAACTTGTGACTCTTAAAAGATGTACTAGGATGGAAACAGAGTAAAGTATATTGATTACGTAGGAAAAATGCGGAATCTAGTGATCATCCAAATAGAAACAAGAGAAGATAAAATGAATAATCAAAAGTTAATAAAATCAATAATTATCAACTGTCTTCAAATTTACTTGACATCAATTGCTTTTCTCAAATCAAACTTAAAAAAAAAAAGTGACTAAGATGTTTACTCAAGAAAAGCAGTCTAAAGAGTCTAAGTCACTTGTTTCTAACTACCCTCTCATCATATTTTTATTTACCATCAAAGCTGACCCAACAAAGGTAGGAAAATTTCCCACTGAAAGCACCCAGCTTAGTTAAGAAAAAAACTATTCCACCAGGAGTCATGTTTTGCTTGAGATCCTCTAAACTTTCAGTCTTCCCATTATCAACAGTTGTTGCAGCTATCAGTAGCACTTCTATTTACATAGATGACATGTTACTTTTTTGTGCAAAATTTACATAAAACTTTGACTACCACTCTAATCTCGTTCTGGCTATTGGAATGGATCCACCCAACATTCATCCTCCTGAACTGCCTTTTCCCAACGTTTTCTAAAAACATCTAATTCATGGTAAGAAAGTCTCCTCACCTGCACCACCCCAAAAATAATGTTAGTGTTAGTAAGGACAGAAGAAAAAAAATCATTCAGATATACTAATTTTCTGGCAGAAAAAATTCACATGCAAGAATCTCAAATGTATTATGCTATGGACAGTGTCATTGATCATCTGGAGGTAATTGGCAAAGCAATTAGTCCTTGTCATTTAAGGTAAAAAGTGGCTATATTATGAAACCTGAGAGTTAACTAGTGTGCCAAAAATAATGTTTCTCTTTTCTACAAACAAACAGAACTAAGTATTAGCCCATCCAGAAGCACAAGTTTTGTAAGAATTTGACTGGTACCAAACAATGATGATTCTGAATCAGACAGAATGAGTAAGTATGAAACAGAAAAACGAAATATGCTTTTAAGGTACATTCAGACTGTACTTTAATTGACAAATCATGACAATATGGTAACTTACATCAACTCTATGATCCTTTTCCTCGGATGAAACCTGCAAGTCACAGATAAGTCTCAGTTTCAAGGAAGATAGAATGGGAGACACACATGCCAGATAAGAAAACAAGTGTGCTAAGATATTATAATATTGGAAAACATGAGACAAGCATTTCTTCATAGTTAAACTCTTTAATAAAATGACATTTTTCTGACCGAAGTTTTATCTATGCCTCCAAGAGTGGGACGATTGTAGTGAACAATGTATTCAGCATCCACAACACCAACATTCTTTGTTCGATCACCCTATCCACCAGAAATATGGTCAGATGGGACTAGAAAGCAAAAATAAAGAGAGAAAAACAAAAGGACAAAGCTTAAATTCAGTATCATGGATGTTGTTAGTGTTGCTCTCCAATTAAAAAAAGACATTTGGTATAGGTGATTACTATGGAATTTAGTTAACAAGATGAAAAAAAGGTTATTGAAATAAAAAGTTAATATTTATTTTAGAACAATACCAACAATATCTATGGTGTTGTATGTAGAAAAAACGACACCATGAAATTGAATCAAAAGATAGCTTAACTTGCCTGAGAACAGTAGCCAAGCTGCATATCTAGGCCCCACGCATGGATCAAGTCATTCTGTAAAACAAACCACATATGGTGAATAAATATGCGACCTTCATAGAGGAATCCTTATGGTAATGCTCCGCAACAGCATTAATAGAACAGAGTGGTGCACCTGAATCATATACCAAACACAACGCCACGCAGCTCTTGAGAAAACAGGAGCCATCATTTCTATCCACCTGAAGCAAATTAGTTCACCTTTAATTTCTTGAACTGCGTAAAATAAAGGGAAATTCACATTAAATTGGTTGTTACCACAAAAAAATCTTACCCTGTACAAGGTGGAGCAGTGCTGCTTTTATCGCAGCCTTTGCCATCATTACTAGCTTTATATGTCCTTCTGCAAGCACAACGACCAAAAGCATGCAAAAATAAGCATCTGCATTAAAGAAAACTTATCTAGAAACAACATGGGTAGAAAGAAAACTCAAGTTAAGCTTGTCTTCCCTCTCTTTTAGTTTTTTCAAACAAATGTTAGTTACCACAGATTGAGAGGGGTTGAACTCAATCTCCTTCTAAGATTAGGTGTATTGTATGGTTACTACTTGGTTGGTATAAGTGTTTTTGGAGAAGTTTATTCAAACAGATTATTACTACTATAATTATATAATGGGAACTAAATAACATATTATTGAGAACATGAAAAGGGCTGATAAAAAAATTTGAGAGCATAAAATGGGTATACAAGTGAACCTGTGCACTTTTGTCCTCCTCCCACGTGCAGTAATCTGATGATGCACTTCTGAATTTTTAGGATCTAGAGCTGGTTGTGATATCTCCAGCCCTTCACCTTTGATAATAGAAAGGTACCTGAAAATAATTGAAGAAATATGGTAAAAATCGTATGAGTCATAGGGTACTTATAGTACCATATTTGAATCAAAATCCAAGAGCATCAAACTGTACAATTGTAATTAAGAAAAGTTAAAATTAAATTCTACGTACTTGTTTGGATGGAAATGGTCAACACCTAGGTCCTCATCCCAAAGGAATATATAATCATATTCTGCAACTACGTCAGGGTGTAAGAAACGTTTTGCAAACCACCTAGCCAATGAAAACATGTCCAGGACAAAAACATATTTAACATAACTGAAATCATTCAAAATATGAACGGGAATGGAATGTGAAGTCACCTACACAGTACACACCTACCATTTGCTTTGATCGAGTGCCGACACATGAATAACCCTGCTACTCCACTCAAGATCCTTCCATTCATCAACAACTCCATCATAGTGGAAAAGCATCACCAAGAAATCACTTTCTATAAACTGCAATACAGGATAGAGAGAGGGTCATGACCCATAAACAACATGTTACAATGAACAAACAGAACTCGTTATAGTACCTTTTTGACCATTTTGTTCACAAGATCTTTTTGTTTTATCCCAACTGCCATTGCAAACAGATTGGATGATGTATTTACCTTAATCTGTACAAATGTAACCAAGTTAGTACATACTAAATAGCATATCAACCAACATGTCATTGGTCTGAATGACACTGAGTTCAAACCCTTTAAGAAAAGTCTCACGTTCAGGAGAGACCTATTAAATATGGTCAACCAAATTTGTTGGCTAAGACTGGATGACTAATCATAAACAAAAGCAGTAGATACTTTGCTTCAATGACGACATGGTAATAAAAAATAGTTCATAGCACACCAGAAGCAAAGAAAAATCACTAGGATCATTGGACAAATTTGATGATATGTATTCTATGTCAATAGAGTGTCAATTAAAGAGACCACATAGGCTACAACATCAATAACCTAGAAAAAAAAGGTGTAGAAACTCACTTCTATATCGGGATGATGCCTCTTCTTAGGAATGGGAGGATCCCACAAAGGTCGCATATCTAAACTGGAAGTGGCGGAGACTATGCCCTCAGGTAATGCCTCACTTCCGCTAGGCCTGCACTGGTTCTACTAAACAAGATAAACAAACATAAGCACCAAAGTTGAGCACATGATTAAGAAAAGCAATGCTAATTGAGAGAAATTAATAACCTTGCATTTATCAGCTTTAACATCCTGATTTTCATCCATTTTCCAGCTTGACAGTTTCGGCTGCATGACATTTGAAGGAACATGAATCCTAGTTAGTCAAAGTCAAATTCATTTTGAGATAAGGATTCATGTATTGTATACCTCTTGTGTGAAGGCCGAGCTCATGAAAAATAGAACTGCACAGATTAAAGTAGCTGCTGGGAAGACGTAATAGAAACATGATTTTCTACTCTTTGAATCAGCAACAGAAAAAGTCTGGTCCAACATAATAGAAAAGGTTAGATAAAGCAACAATCAAGAGTCCTTTATAATATCGTTTTCATCTTTAATTCCTTATATAATAGGCCATGCACAAAGAAAAAAAAATGAAGGGATTGAAACAAATAACAACATAGGAATTGAAGCAATAGTAATATATAGAAGAAAGGGTACTCGGGAAGGTGACTTCATATCTTGTTTTCAAAAGCAGAGAACCTTGTGTTGTGATGAAAATGAAAAGCGAAGGTCATGGAAAATTGATGGTTGGCCACAAGCAATATGCTAGTTAGAAAAGGAAAATTAATGGAGAAGATGGTGACTTTGATCGTAAAAGTAATTCAAATTCGTAAGGTTTAAAAGAAGTTGAATAAAAAGGATAAGTTTCATTCCTTTAATTTTGAGTTTAGAGATATAGTTAGTTGACGTAAGGAGCGGGAACCGAACAACGCGGTGCCACAAACAAACAAACTAACAAAATATTCTACAACATCAGATTCATCAAACGTTCTTGTTATTTTTCTTTCCTTTTGTTTATCAAGTAAAATTTAAGGTTGTTACAAAAAAAAAAAAATTCTGTATACCTTCATGGTCTCCATATTATTTTTTATTGGAGGAGAAATTCTAATGTATCTCAAGTCTCAAGAGGAAATAGTATTTATAATTTAATTCAATGGCATATCTTTATGATTAAGTATGTAATGTTGTGTGTTATAGGTTTATTCAACTTATGATATTATTCTTCTGCTATATGAGACTTTTCTTATTGGTTGGTTGTGGCGCAATACCATATGCTTAAATTTCAAGCCATTGAGAAGATAACAAAAGAAAAAGCATAATGGCCATATTTGTTTTTCTCTCCATTTGGTTATTGACTATTTTTTCCACCCGAGTTATCTCTATCAAATATGACTCATTAATCATTATCATCCACTAAAGCAAGTTGGCTTTTACAACTTTCTTTTATTTACTTTTTAATTATATTATATTGTACTATATTATATATATACATATATATATATATACATATATATATATACATATATATATATATATATTGTATAATAATTTAGATTTTAGACTCTTCTTTCCCTTCTCTTCAATAGCTATTTTTAATACTTATTATTTTCTCTCTCTTTTTATAATATATACTAGTATTTTAGTATATATTTTAGAAATTAATTGTTTATTATATATCACTAAATTTTATGATAAATTATATATAAATAAATACTATATTTGTAAATTATATTTAGAATTTTAATAAATATATATTTTTAAACGTGTAAATTACATTTTTAAAATAAAATAATAAGTTATATTATAATATAAGATTATTTTTAATTATTGATAATTTATTTAAAATATTAAGTTTTAATTTATAAATAAACATGATAAATAAAGAAGTTAACACTATTGCGTTAGATAACCGTTGGTTTAACATATAAGAATTGAATCCGTACCGTACGCTACCTCTGCAATTAAGTAACTTTTCGCAAAATGATCTCGAACTATCTTCTTTTCATTTTGAGAAATATCTAAAATTAACTCAGTTTTTTTCATTGAAAATTATCTCACACAGTAAATGAATCTTCCCAATTATAAATAATGATATTCTCATACGTTCCTGTTCTTTAAAAAAAATATCTATTTTCTACGATTTAGTCAAACAGTGCCAAATTTATCTATATATTAATTAAATCTTTTATATACTTCAGCAATCTACCTCACATAGTAATTGGATCTTTCCTTTTAAGAATAAAATGATAAAATTTGCTTCTTTGAAAAAAATTATCTATTTTCTACAGTTCCCAAATTGCTTGATTAATTTGATAAAATAAAAATTGCTTGATTAATTATTCATTTGCTTTCCTTTAAGTCCAACAAGTATCAATCCTATATGTTAATGCAAACGATAATCTCACGTGAGATTATTTTTACACACTATTATTCGACGAGACTGTTTTTAAGATTTTCTTTCATGTAATTTAATTTTTATTTATTATATTTATCTATGAATTAAATTTTAATATTTTAAATAAATTATCAATAATTAAAAATAATTTTATATTATAATATAAATTATTAAGATTTTATCATTACTTGTTAAATATTTATTATATATAACTAAAATTTAAAATAATATATATATATATATGAATAAATATCATGTTTGAATATGTAAATTATATATAAAATTTGAATAAATAAATATTTTAAATATATAACTTATATTTTAAATTTATGATGAATAATTAATATTGTAACACGAAATTATTATTTATTGATAACTTATTTTAAAAATAATAAAATTTAATTCATAAATATTATTAAAAAAATTAAATTAGATATAAAATTAAAAAAAATTCTCGTAAAAAAAAATTCTTAAAAATACTCTTATGTAATATAATCATTAGTGTTTTATATATAAAAATTGATTTGTTTTAAATCTAAAATATAATTTATATATTTAAAATATCTAATTTTACAAATTTTAAATAAAAATTATTTATTTAAATATAATATTTATTTATATATAATTTTTATAAATTATAGTTATATATAATAAATATTTAACTTGTAAAATCTATAGTTAAAATACTAGTACATTGCATTTTTAGTCTCAAATTAGATTATTTAATAAATTGTGTATTTAAGTTTATTTTCACCCTTTTGATGATATGAAAATAATTACTTATTGACTCTAATAATAAAGTTTATTTTATACAAACGAATATTGTATCGAGTAGTTAAATCCCTATTTCTTTATTAAACTAGATATATTTACATGATTATACATTGTAAATAGATATTTAAATAAATTATTTCGTCAATATTGTTGTCTAAATATATGTTATGGTAATTTTAAATAACCTAATTAAGAATCCAATTATAAAATTTTTACAACATCACAAACTCAATTATATTTTTGTTTAGTTTGGGAACTACCTAAAAATTTTGAAATAGGGACATATTGATTAATATAATCTAAAAATTTCACGCATAAAATAAGAGCATTTTTAATTTTTTACAAATAAACAATTTACTTTATCTACTTAAATCTATACATGTGACTTTAATTTTAATAAGCTTATTTAATTCTTACTCTTACTCCAATAAATTTTTTTATAAAAATTTGTTTAACTCATAAATATTTTTCCTCCTTTATATATGCACATAAATTACTTATAACTCAAGGGTAATTTTATGGTATCCTTATAAATTTTAAGGGTTTTGAAACTGTGGATTTTTTTATATATATACAGTATATGAATGTTTGATTTTTCCATAAATTTATCTTTTTTATTTGAATATATATTTTTTAAAATTCTTAATAATACACAAAACCTTTAAATTTAATAAGGATACTTTTTTAATGAACTTATAAATCATGATGAATTGAGATTCGTCACATTTATATATAAATTATCAATACTTTCTAAGGATTATGTGTATTCATGAGATTCAAAGGTATTACGAAGAGTAGGTTGAATATAAAATACATAAAATTTTCCTCACTTTAATTAGCTAACAGAATTTCATTGTGTTTTGCTCACTTTTATTTTGATTTTCATAAAAATAAACAATAAGTCGACTTAAATTATGTGTCTATACATCATTTATAAGTAGAAGAAAAAGAAAAAAGAATTCACATTACTTTATTTCCATTGATTTAAAAAATTGATTGTATCTTTATATGGGTACCTTATTAACTCTGTTAACTTAATTTATAAAAAAAAACTATGTGATGTCTATATTTACTAGTAGCTTGTTCGATCAGTATAAGCTTTTTTTTTTTAATGTAAATATTTTTGTTTATTTGTAACTTTGAGGTCTATAACTTTAAATTTTGATATGCCATATCTAATTAATAATATTTTTTCAGCGTAGGACCACAAATATCGCTTATGCATACTCCTATTTAAGTCAATAATATCCATAATATGATAAAGTACGTTCATTTTTTTAGTGGATATTTTTTTACATAAAACGAAATCTTAAATATTGCATAAAAGAATTCAACATTGCATTAAATAATTCATTTTCTTACTTATATTTAAATTCACGCACCTTTTTGTTATGTAAAATATTTTATTTTCAACTTATTTTAATATAATAATTTTAAAAGTCATATCTGTTTATTCTTATATGTATAATAAAATATTTTTGATGATAAAAATATATCCCATTATATTTCATTTCTTTTTAATACATATATTGTTATTACAATTAGCCATGAAATTAAAAATATGGGTAAAATAAACAAGAAAATAGAAACATAAAATAATGTCTGCTTGACTCTAAGAGCATTTTCAGTGGGAGGTTGCTTATAAACAACCTCCTATACCACATCATTGTCACAGTTCTAATTCATTTTATGGATTACTTAAATTTTAGCAAAATTGCTAAATAACTTTGCTAAAATTTAAACAACTTATAAAGTAGATTAGAACTGATGTGACAATAATGTGACACAGAAATTATTTATAAGCAACCATCAATAGAGATGTTCTTATCTTCAACGTGGGAATCATAATTCACCAAACGTTGGTAGTTCACAAGTCTACTTCAAGTTATACTTATTTATTTCATTATTTATTTGTTGATGATGTAAGCCTCTATGCGCAAAAAGATTTAGATGCATGTACTTACTTTCTTATCGGTTAACTTTTTCGTTTTTTGTTATTTATTCCCTTGTTTTTTATTTAATTCCAAGAACAGCTATTAATACTAAAATTAAGTTATAATGATCATTCAAAAATATAAAAATTAAACATTAAAGATATATTATGATCCATTTAAAAAATAATACATAAAACCTTCGGTTGAAGTATATTTACAATTAATATTCATGCATATAAAAAACTATAAAAATTAGATCACAAGTATCTCTTATCGAATGTAATATTGTTTGAATAATTTAAAATTATTTTGGGTGGTAGTTTTTTTTCTTTTTAATATTTAATAAATTTGCATATATAAAACTTGAATTTAAAACTATTATTATAGTTAAACTAATGTTTGATTATATATATATATATATATATATATATATCATATAAAAAAATAGCAAACATTACATACCTTGTTCAAAAATAATAATTTAAAATATACAAAAAATTGAAACTGAACTCGTGTGTCAATATTATGATGGTTTAAGTAAAAATAAATTCAAATTATTACATAGTTTAAAGATTGATTTCAAAATTTTTAAATAAAATATCGAGTTTTAGTATTATGGGTGAAAAAATTATGGTTGACAAGATAAAAAGGTGATCAGTTTTTTTTTGTGTTTTTTTAAGAAAAGATTGATCATTATCAAATTTGATAAATGCTTTACATGAGAAGAAGAAGAAAAAGAAAAATATTATATACCAACAATGCATAACAATATTGTAACGAACTCAGCTGGTCACTACACACCGCACAGCACACTAGAAACACTACAC